GTCATCGAATTTCTTGTGAAAGAGGAAATCCCTGCTGCAGAAATTCACCAGAGACTTCAGCATGCTTATGGAAGTGTGTGCATGGGTGCAAGCAGTGTTCGAAGATGGGTGAAACATTTTAAAGATGGGAACACCAGCATCGAAGATGAGCCTTGGAACTGTCGTCCTCGAACAGCCTCAACTGAATGCAACAAGGAAAGAGTGGATGAGATCATTCAAGATGACAGGCATGTGACTGTGGACACAATAGCCCGAAAACTTGGAATAGGGCACAGTGCAGTACAGGAGATGATTGAAAGCTTGGGCTATAGGAAAGTTTGTGCTCCTTGGGTCCCGTGGTTATTGATCGTAGACCACAAAGGTCAGCGAAAAGCCATCACCTCAGAACTGCTGCAGAGATATCGACACAAAGGCGATGATTTTTTGCTCTGTATTGTGACAGGTGATGAAAGCTGGTTTCACGATTTCGAACCTGAAACAAAATGGCAGAGTATGGAATGGCACCATTTGCATTCTCCATCAAAAAAGAAGGCAAAGACAGTGCTATCAGCTCTGAAGGTGATGGGCAGTCTTCTAGGATGCAGAGGGGTTTATTCTGGCCGAATTCCTGGAACCTGGGCAAACCATCAATGCTGCTTTTTATTTCCAGACGCTGCACAAGCTCCGTTGTGCACTGCGCAATAAACGTGCGGAACAAAACATCATCATCCTGCATGACAACGCTCACCCCCATGCCGCTCGCCTCACATTGGAAGCAATTGCAATGATGGGGTGGGAAGTTCTTCCACACCCCTACTATAGCCCTGATCTGGCGCCCTCCGTCTTCCATCTTTTCGGATTTGTGAAGGATCAGCTGCATGGACAACGTTTTGAGACAAGGGAGGCAATTCAGAAAGCAGTGTGTCAGTGTCTTCGGATGGCTGGAACGGAATTTTACAGAAGGGTAATTTTCAAACTCCCAGAATGCGAGGAGAAACGTGTACAAAGAAGTGGCGATTATGTGGAAAAATAAAGAAAGGTCTGCAGATTGATGTGGTGTATTTAGTTTGTCAATAATAAAGCATGTTACTTTACAAAAAACTGTTACTCATGACTTTCAGTATGACCCTCTATTATATGATGGTGTGTGTGGGTTAAACCTATATATATATATATCAAGAAGATAATAAAAAAAGGAATGTATGCTGATTTTACTATCTCTAAAATAATTATTTAGAAATGTGTGCGTGCTTCTGTTAGCGGCATTTAAATGCCCGAATGCACAAATGTGTGTACTTGGCCACAATGACTGTACTTTACAGTGTACCAATATGTACATTATAGGTTAAAGACACAGAGTGATAACATGGGCAAGAACAGGATTCCTTTGAAAAAAACCAGTCACTGAGGAAATGAAAGAAGGGAAGTGATGCAAAAGAAGTTACGAAAGAATGGATGATACAAATGGAGCACTTACAGAAGGATACAGATACTGTAACATGTCCTGCACTGGCTGAAATATCCATGGATGAATGTATGCAATGTAAAGAGTGGTATGGTCTGAGATACAGCGCTGTGTAGTCAGTAGAATTTCATTGACATTTCAGATGAATATACTGTTTCCATTTTCAGGATTGGAGGATAAGCTAAGCAAGTAGCCAGCAGGAAGAGGGCAGTAAGCAAAGCTTGGATCACTCTTTGACCCTGAACATGGAGGCAGCATGTTCCTCCATACTGTACATTGTAACTGAAATTCTAAAGGGGCTCATGGTGTCACATCCCAGAAGACAGAACTCCCCACAGTCACTGCTATGAGGACCTCAAGCCCAACATGTGTATTGTAGTCCCCACAGTGATATTTCTTTATACCTATCCACTTGTATCTAGTTTCTGTCTCCTACAGTTTCTATAAACAAAGCAGAAATTTAACTGATGGATGATGTAACATGTTTGGAAAACACTTCCATAGTAGCGCAACAAGAGTGAGCCGTTGCTTCGAGAGTGTCCAATCTCCACGGTTACAACGAATACACAGAGCGTTCCCACAGAGATAATGCAATAACAGTGGGTCCTTGCATAGGAATCACAGAATCAACAAAGCAGCATTTCTACAGTTATAACAGAGGGTTCACTTGCATAGCAATGGCCGAGGGTATAAAAAGGGGTTGACTGCATTCGCCAGTCAGTCTCGGGGCAGATGCCGAGAGATACAGAAGTCAGTCTTCAGGAAGCTGCCACTGAAGATAGGTGGAATCTAGATACAAAGAGCTACAGAAGTATTGGCCGAGATATTGTGTAAGCAGTAACTGTAATGC